TGGAGTCTTTTGAGGAACCTCCTTATTGCTTTCCAAAGTGGTTTAACAAGTTTACACTCCCACCAACAATGCAGTAGGGGGTCTTTGTTTTTCTGCTGACACCCCATTCTTTTTTTTTTTCCTTTTTTTTTCTTGTCAATTGTGAGGGTTGAACTCAGGGCCTGGGCGCTGACCCTGAGCCTCTTTGTGCTCAAGTCTAGTGCTCTACCATTTGGGTTTTGAGTGCTTAATTGGAGATGAGTCTCATGGGTACTTTACTGCCTGGGCTGGCTTGAACCGTGATCCTTAGATCTCAGCCTCCTGAATAGCTAAGATTATAGGCATGAGCTACTGACACCCAGCCTGATACCCATTTTTCAGCCCCTGTACCTGCCTTCCTTACTTCCATCCCATTCATGAGACCTAATTACATTTCCTGGAAGCTGGACCCCAAAGGCCCAGAGCTGGCTTAGAAAGCAAAGTTTCAACCTAGAGAAGCCCTACTCAACTAGCAGCTATTCCTATGCCTTGTACTAGGCACAGTATTGTGGCCTGTGATCACTGCATCAGCTTTATGGAGACACATGAGCACTGCTTCTGTTTACTGGCTGCAGAAATGGCTCTCCAAGGCCTGACATGCTTCACTTTTATGTGGCTCATGTCTTTTCCTTTGGAAAATATTGCCGTCTCCATAATTTCCTTATTAAAATGAATAACAAAGCGGGTGCTGGTGGTTTATGCCTATCATCCTAGCTATTCAGGAGGCCTGCACTGCAAAGCCAGCCAGGCAGGAAAGTCTGTGAGACCTTATCTTCAATTATTCACCAGAAAACTAGAAGTGGAGCTATGGCTCAAGGTGGTAGAGTGCTAGCCTTGAGCAAAAACAGCTTACAACAGTGGCCAAGCCCTGAGTTTAAGCCCCATGACTGACAAAAAATAATGACACGACTGTTTCACCCAACATTCTTCATTCTCCTCTCTTGCTCTACTTCATTCCAAAGCACTTATCACTTTAAAACATACTGTATTACTCACTAGATTTGTTTTTCCTCTGGAATGTCAGCTCCCTGAGGGTAGGGATTCTTATCTGTTTTATTCCCTGGTCTATGCCCAGTGCCTACATACCAAGGCCTAGCACATAATAAATATACAATAAATAGCTATTGAATCAATCATTGACCTATGAGAAAGGGTATCCAATAGATACAAGAGAGCTGATAAGCAAGGTAAAACACAAGATCTGAAGACCCTGTAAAGGAAAAACCAAGGGAACCTAACACTGGACATTGGGGTTATGTTTCAGCAGCTTTCTGTCTCCAGTGACCTATATTCCCACATGGAGCACCAGCGCCCCCTGTGGACTCTACCAAGACCTGTCTGTGTCAGCGCTGCCACTTCCCCTCTACCCACCCACCAGCCTCAATTTTCCTAATAGTTACTTGGCTGCATCCAATACTATTCACAGCTGCAAGACCAATCCAGACAACATTGTCTCCTTTAGGAACATGCTGCTTCACAACTGTGTCTGGGTGAGTGTGCAAGCCACCTACCTATGCAACCTTTCCTCAGTGCACATGTGGATCTGTTTTGTGTGTGTCGACAGCCAATATACCATGGCCATCAAGGACCCTGCTGTGAATGTGGACAGCACAGGACAGCTCCTGACCTCATACAAGGCCTGGGCCAAGACATATAGGATGCCTGTCCATGCCTCCAAAAGAGTCACATCATCTTGTAAACAGGGTTCTAGAGTAGAAGGTGCAACTCTGGGCTTACATTCCTCTATGCAAACATGTACATTTAGTCTGTTGTGTTTTCTATTTTAAAAATTGACTGCCAAGATTTTTAATGAGTAAGTTTCAGATAATATCTGAACTTCTAGATTCCTTGGGAAAAAATGGAAGCTGTGGTTGTATATATTTGAAGCCACGTATTACCTGAGATCACTTCTGCCCATTTAGATGGACTGTGTACTTTCCAGTCATGCTGGTCCTTACTTAGCATAGTTGTCTGACATGTACATGTACATAGTTGTCTGGCTCCTATAGGAATTTCAGTTTGAGATTCCTGGAGTTTCTTGGAAGGGAACAAAGAGCTGTATGAAAACAAAATGCTAATCTTTCAAATTTTACAATAAGCTTTATTGTTATTATTTCTAACATCTTTAATAACTTGTGTTGAAAGTCAGATATGCATCCTTAACAAAATACAATAAAATAATACACAATAATAAAAACAAACAAAGAAAGCAAAATGCAACCAACTCCATCTGAAGAGAGGGAGATTTCCCCACTCACTAGAGGGGAAGTCTGAGTAGTAATAGCTTGAGGCTTAAGGAGGGTACTCAGAACAACACATCCTTTCTTCCTTCTTCCCTTACAGCCCTTCTTCCCTGACTCCATGACTACCAAATTTAGCAGTGGGCATTGTCCTATGTAACAAAGGAAGCTGGGTAATATTATTAACAAGACAAATAGCATTAAAGGAGCCTACGCTGAATGAGTATTTGGTAAGTACTTGACTGCTCATAACCTCCTTATAAGGTAGGATTATCCCTATTTTAACCAGGGGTAAATTGAGATAAATGAGCTGCATAGCTAGACTGAGGTCATACATTTGAACCTTTGAGGCTTTGGCCCGCAGGGGCTATGCATGGGCCTATGGGAGTGGGGGGAGAAATCAACCACCTGTTCTGAATTCATTTGAATGGAATTTGTGGCATTATCAATCTTCTCACTGGATAGATCAGTAAGTTTTGAAGGATAGTTTTTGAACCAGCAGCATTAGCATCACCTGGCAGCTTGTGAGGAATACAAATCTTCAGGCTCCATTCCACACCAGAATCAGAAAGCCTGTGGCAAGTCTAGCAATGTGCTGCAATGGGCCCTCTGGATGACACTGAGGCATAGCAATTGGAGACCCAATGGAGGACCTCTGAGCATACTCTTTGGTACTGGATAGCTGGATGGCATCCAGGATTACTAGTGACATTCCTAGTGACAGTGTCTGAGATGATGGCCTAATGCTATAGAGACAGTAGGTGGTGGGGTAGTAAGTTATATCTGGAATCCAGGCAGTCTGGCTCACTCATAACCCTTACTGTTACTTGATGTAACCAAGAACCTATGGTCTCTTGACAGAGCTGACAGGTTGGGTGATTCTCTGGTCCTCCCTCATACTCTGTCCCCTAAGAAGCACTACCTCCTGGATAGTCATTTTCCCACTTCTAATCCCAGCCTTTGTGCCATCATACCTTCCTCTACCACAGGGTATGTTAGTGCCTACACCACAGGTCCCACATGCCTGTTTGTGAATTCTCCTAGGCCATATCCATACGTGGTGTGCCCTCAACTTAATTTCCCCAAATCTAGGGCTTGCTAGTTCCCTGCCCCATTCCTCATGCCCCTCCAGGGCTAGCTGAGGCCCCCTGCTGCAATAGTGAGGGAAGGCTAAGGGCACATAGGGACAACAGTAACCCAGAAGATGATGGAAAGAGAGTAGTAAGACTTAGTAGCCCCCAAGATATTTTAGGATCGGGGTTGGCCACCCTGGATATTTAATGAAGCAACTTTATGGCACCATGACTAGTCTTCTTTGATCTATGGGGGTGCTGGGGTTTGGAGAGAGCATGACTTGATATCTAGGCAACTGATAGCCCTGAATACATAAACAGGAGGTCTGCTCAGTTGTGGGCCTTTAAATACTTTGGGTCAATGATAGGCTGCATGTGGAATGGTGATACCCACAAGATCATATAGATAATGTCTGGGGTCTGAGTGTATTTTTTCAGCCCATTAAAGAATTAAAGGGCAAGAAAGTGTTTGAGACAGACAGCACAAGTTTATATGAAAGCATATAAAACAGACTCATAAAAGGAGTAGCCATTGCAGTCTCTAGCTCCTGAGACCTATCTATCTATCTATCTATCTATCTATCTATCTATCTATCTATCTATCTATCTAGAGAGTTCTTGACTCCTCCTCCTCCCCTTTGAACATGTATAATTGGTTGAGGGAATCGACAGGTGCTGTGAGGTCTTGTGATTGGTTCCCTCATCTCTGCTGAATCATCCCCCCAACTGAGGCGTGCATGTGTTTTGCTGAGTGACACCACCCCATGTATTTTGCTGAGTCATTCCTTAGCCCCATGCTGGTTCCAGTCCTGGCCACATCTTCTACCTAGCCTTGGATACCTAACTTCCCCCCAAGATCCCTCTTAGTTTGTATAAACACATTCTCTGACCAAGAATGGTCTAACCACTTCTCAGAATGAATCCCCATGGTTAAGTGATACACCACCTGATCTTTGGAACCTAGGAGTTTTATGGTCACAGTAATATGGCAAATGCAAAGTCCGTTCCTTTGGGGAAGTCAAGATGGGAGGCTATTTAGCTAGCTCCCTGAGCTTTGCAGTCTCAAGCCTTTCTTAGACTGGTGCTTGAGGCTGGGTCTTTAAATCCTTCCCATGCGCCATGTAGGAGTAAACAGAAGGAAAGTTTGACAAGGCTCCTCTGTGTGTGTTTCCTGGGGCTTAAACCCAGGGCCTGGGCACTGTCTGTGGGCTTTTTTTTGCTCCAGGCTAGTGCTCTGCTTCTCGCTTTGGAATGGCTCATTGGAGATAGAGTCTCACGGACTTTCCTACCCTGGGATGGATTCAAACCAGGATCCTCAGATTTCAGTCTCCTGAGTGAGCCACCGATGTCTGGCAGATTTGTCTTTAGGGTTACTGTTAAGGATGTTCAAGGATGTGCTGCTTATGGGATGCTGACTGATCCAGTACCATGGCCAGTTCATCTTAGGATGGGGATTGCACCTCCTGCTCACATCTTAGCCTGCCTCTCCCCACTCCAATCACCTCCACACCTCCCATGATAAGACCTGAGGCCCTCTCCATTTCTCCCATGAGGTCACTCCAAGTCATGATAGCAGTAAGCTGGGTCACAGGAGAGGGCAAGGTGAATGCTCACCTCTGTCCCCAGGCTCTGACCCATTGTCCAAGCAAAAAGACAGCCAAAGCCAGAGTACATCTCCAGTAAGTCTTTATTGTTCTGCAGAGGGATCCTGCTGTACCTTATCCTCCACCACTCTCAGTCTTTACAAGTGACCTGCCCTGCGGCCCTCCAGACCCTGTTCCCATCCAAAGATTATCAAATACTCAGGAGAGAATATACGTGCGCATGCATATATGCGTGTGTATGTATATATGTGTCTATATGTACACTACAGATAACACATACATATTTTGACTGTACAATATATATACGTACAAAGAACACAAGCTTAAAATTACAGTGCTGGCTGAGATCCATCCCCCCAGTCTATGTAGTGGATGGAAAAATAAAGTCTAAGTGAGCCATTGACTGGCAATGGCACTACCATCTGAACAAAGGTGGCCAGTGAGTGAATGGGATGGATTAGATTTGGATCAAGGCCCAGGGGATTAATGTGGGCCCTTCCCTTTGGCTGGCCCAGGGGCCAGATGTCTGCTCCAGGAAGGAGCTTGCCCACTACCATAGGCAAGAGGAATATACTGGTTTCCCTACAACTATGTGCCGTGGCTTGGCCTGTGTGGTGTGAGTTAGCTCATTTACCCATAGGTATGACAGTGAATAGATAGATAAAGGCTACTGGTAACCACAAGGAGTGACACTGGATAGCCTAAGCCACACAAAGCTAGTTCATTGGTTTACTGAGACTTGAGAAAGGAAGTTTCCTCATCTTTCTGTCCCAGGCTAACCCAAATCGTCAAGACACTAACCAGGGCCCCCTAAGGACCCTCTAAATCAGCCTCATATAAAACTGGCATTGTAAACCACAAGTGGTTTACTTTCTCTATCCTCTGTCCTCTGCTCCTGTACTACCTACTCTAGTCCCATTTTTGGAAAAGCTAGTTCAGGGCCAGTGTTGGCCCCCAAAGGCCATGAGCCTATTTTCTAACAGGACATTTGCATCTTGCTGTGGCAGACAGCTGGGACTATCCTGTTCACCCCATTCCTCCTGCAGGTGGGGGTGGTTGATGCTGCAGATTGAATGCCAGTCTCCTGGCAGGGACCGGCAGCAGAGTTTTCACTACTACTAGGTTTCTCTTCTCTTGGAAAAGTAATACACAGTTAGGGAAGAAGATGGCATGGAGACAGGGCACCTAATCTCCCTTCCCCTCTCCTGGATGTGCAGATAGTGTTAGAAAGTAAGGGGGATGGGTGAGTGGAGCCCCCTGGCCATGGCTCTGTCCTTGTTCCACTCACTCCCTTGGTGCCAGGATGCTGGGACAATGGTAGCCTGCAGCTCACAGCTTTGTTTCAGGACCAGCTGCCTGTAGTGTGGGGAAGGAGTCCCGGATCTTTGCCACTTCCATGGCACACAGGTGCCCAAAGACTTTGTTGTACCAGTCAGGAGAACGGCCCCTGGGGGTAGAAAAAGACAAGACTGAGAAGTGGGCTTTTCCCTGTAGCCTTCACCAGGGGAAGGAAAAGGAGGTGACGGTGGGGAGGGAGGCAGTTAAAACCAGAACAGAGCCAGGGGAGGGATCAGGGCCAATGGGGTGAGGCAGGCCTCATTCAAGTCTGGTACCTGAGGTCCGCACGGCAGACATGTGTGAGGCGGGAGCGGCCCAGGCCACAGGGTTCCATGAGGTACTGGGAGGTGAGCATGAGGGCCCGTACTCCAGACTCTGGCACAGGCTGCTCAGGGTCCAGGGACTGGGAGACTAGCAGGCAGCCCCCACGGGGCAGATCGGAGCGCCACATCCTATGTAAAGAGAAAACACATTGGCCTGAGTTCTTGCTGCTAGTTCCCTCTCCTGTCTTGGGGCATACCCGAGTGGCAAGTGGGACACCTCACCTCAGCACCACGAAATCGCGGCAGGGATGTGGTGCCATGCTGTCGGTGACATAGTGGTACAGTTCCACCCCTGGCATCAGGGCCTCCAACACCTGGGCACGCAGCAGGTCCTCATCCCAAAGGGCCCGCTCCCGGAGGACACGATGGAGCACCACTGCTGGAGGGGCCGCAACCTCTGTGGATGCCTTCCATATGCGTAGAGGGTGCCCATCAGGTGCCTGCAAGCCATTGGGAGAGATGGTCACTGCTTTCAGGCCTAGAGTTCCAATTCTACCCCCTGCCCAGGCCTAAGAGTGCAGGGCCTGGGGTCCCCTTGCTCTATCCCAGGATGGGGGAGGGCAGCTGGCTCTCTGCTCACACTAGCCCACCCTGGGTCCCTGCCTTCCTTCCCAGATTCCTGCTTCTTGGCCTGCTCCAGAGTACCAAAAGGTGTGAAACTCATTCCCAGAGGTCTATGGGGCTTGTGCTGACATGGGCACAGTACACACAGTTTCTAGAAGCAATCAGGAAGAGAAAGCAGATTTGCCATCTAGCAAGAGACATCTACCACACAGCAAAAGAAAATGTTGATTGTGGAGCCTTTTGGAACATGCTAAGCTCTGAGTGAGATCCCCTCTGCTATAAGGGAGGTTTTGTTTTGACCATTTTACATGTGGGAACTTCAGGTTTGCAATCTTACTCAGAATGAACATCTAGGAAACAGCATGGCTAATGACAGGAGAGGGGAATACAGAGACACTCCTCTTGCCTGGTGGGCCCTGACACAGGGAAAACCCTGAATAGAGGAAGGGCCTAACACAGGCAGGCAGGTAAAGTGGCCTACAAAATGTCCAACTTGGGGGGAGGCCAAGCCACAATGGTGGAAATACAAGGCATTCAGCCTGAATACATGTCAAGAAGACATATACTTTGGCAATGGAGCTTTGGGAAGAAGATTCTGGAAGGTGGCCTCTGGTAGAGATTAATTGTTCTCATTTGGTCCTTGCTCAGCTGGATAACACCCTCTGAATATCAGGCCCAGACTCCTCCAGGTTGGCTAGCAGCTCTGCATCCTGCCTTGTCCCAGCCACCGAGTAAATTTGAGAACCATGGTGCTTACCTTCCTGCAGGCCAGCTCTGTGCGCTGGGGCCCTGGCACACTGGTCCAGCCCTTGAAGCGTTCAGCAGCATCCCGCAGTAGCTCCTGTATACTCTCCTCCATGAAGAGGCTCAGGCTCAGGCCAGCGGCCCGTGCTCGCCGCAGCTCAGTCAGGGCTGGGCCTGGGGGGCTGAGCTCAGCTGCACTGTATGAGCCACACAGTTGCACCACCATGTCCTGGGGCACCTGAAGACACACACACACATACACACTGATCAAGGGGTTATGGGGAGCAGAGAAGCCCCCAGGGTCTAGCTGGTCTGTGTGAAGGGCAGCAGAGAGGACACTGCGGTGAGGTAAATAAGAAACTGCATAAGAGACTCATGGAAGAAGATCTGGAAACAGAAGCTTGAGGGAGACATGACATGTTCCCTAACTTGGGGTGCAATGGTCAGCGCTCATGGTTCTGGTGGGTGATAAGTAGGCAATATGGCCTCAGTTGACTCACCTGAAAAAGTTTCTTGCAATCACTGATCATGTGTGACAGGCCCTGGGTGGCTGCCATGTTGTCACTCAGGTCTCTAGGACCTGGCCGGCCAACCAGACTTCGTTTGCTCTTGATTCTGGAGAGAGATATTAAGAGGACAGGATGGTACTGGGGCATAAGACAAGATGGCTGCCGGGCCATCTGCGATCTCCCAGGAAGCCAGTTTATCAATGTTGCCCATCAAACTACCTGTGTCCCTTTGGAAAAAGGCCTACAGTGGCCAAGCAATGCCAGGCCCTTGAGCCCATGAGGAGTCAGGTTGACTCTTTGAGATGAGGGCGGAAATAGTAGTGGTAGCCCCTTAAAGGCTAAAATTCAGTGGGGCTGAAGCCTCCTAGCATGCCCAGCCTTTTTCACCTGGGTGAGGGGCTGTCCTTCTTGGAGATGTTGAGGTGGAAGATGGAAGGTGCCAGGCACACTGCCAGGTTGCCGGCTGTCATCTGGTTTTCCTCAGCAGAGGCAATGTCACTTAGGAAGTAGAGCAGGGTCTGTAGCACTTCCCGGTTCTCATCAGGGAGCAGCAAGGTGGCAGCTTGTGCTGCCGCCAACCACTGCTCCTTAGGGAGGACTGCAGGGAAGAAAAGACCACAGAGCTTTCCTTACTTTCCCAGAGGCAAGTCAGCACACCTCTGGCTTCTAAAAAGTCCTGGAAATCCTCAGAGGAGCCACTGAGAGGGAAGACACAAATAAGCTCTGGGAGATGTCTGCGTGCTAAATCTAGCTCTGCTCCCAATGTGCCATGTAGCCTTATGCAAATCCCCCTTCCTTTCCTTGAGGCCTCAATCTACCATTCCACAAAATGGGCTGGGGTAGTAGAAAATTGCTACTCTCCAAAGGCCTTACCCACACAGAGTACATGTTCTCATAAACTCAAGGGGCTGGCTACCAGCTTTCTGTCCCTCAAGTCCCTAGAATCTAATAGACTGAGAATGGGGCAGATCAGTGGAAGGAGGTGCAAGTGACTCACGTTGGTAGATCTGCAGGAAAGTAGTGGTGAGCTTGCTGGTGAAGATGGGCTCAGGCAGGTCCCGAAAATACTGCTTTAGCAGGTCAGCAACATCATAGGCCGACTGGCCATCATAGCAGACGTTGTCTGGAGAGGTCTCATTCATTTGGCGCAAGCTCTGAATCCTGGACTTGACCCCAGATTTGCGGAAAATTCCCACCTAGCCCATTCAAAGGAGGGATTTGATATCAAGTATACTAGAGACCATGAACCTTGGCAGGCTTCCTGCTGGGAAGGATAGGAGATAAATATCTGGGCCAAAGATCCAAGGTGCTATCATGAGGAGGAGGAAAAGGTAGACTTGGGCTAGGACAGGATCCTAGGCCATGGGGGCTAGAGTGCCTCACCAGAAAGAAGCTGCCACTTAGATGGACAGAAGGCTCTTGTCATAAGGAGGGGGAAAGGGATCTTTGGCTCCATTCTAGCTGGGCCTTTTAAGGATAGGAAATACCTTTGTTGGGCAGCTAAACCCAAGGGGAAGGTAAATCCCTTCCCTCATCAACCTTGGGCCTCCTTAACTCCTCTACCCCAGTACTTTCTCTGCACACAACTGGGGGAAAGCTCACCTGGTCCAGGCACTGACTGCGTAGGTAGCGCATGGCTTGCTGAATGCTCTGTGGCAATGGCTGGCCTGTGCGCTGCACATGGATAAGAGGTGGCACCCCAAATACATGCTGTCCTCGGTAGTCTGGGGTTTTGTTCCTTTTCATGAACTTTGGCATTGACCTGTTTTTAGAGGTAACAAGCAATCAGGGAGAAGCAGCAGCATTTAGAGACAATCAGAACACTGAAAGAGAGTAGGGATTAAGGAACAAACCATATCTGCCCGTAGAGTCAATATCCAGCAAGCACATGCTTTGAGCCCAGCGTGACGGAGCCACCAGGGGACACATGAAGATCTTAGTCAGCTCAAAGAGAAAATTGAATCAATAGGATAGGCCAAGCACTTCTGAGAAGAGCCATGAGAGAGAAAGGCAGGTCAGGAAAGGCTGCAAAGAGAAGATGGGGGCTCTGCATGCTCGAGAGGACAGGAGAGCAATGTCCCAGAGGAGAAATAGGGGAAAGGCATTCCAGGTAGTGAGCACAGCATGACCAACAGCAATGAGGCAAGAAAGAAGGCCTGGTACATCCGGGGAAGGGTCCCTAGTCTTATTGACCTTAAGAGATGGCTTTCTTTGAGAGTAGCAGGCTAAAGAAGCAGAAAGGTATGGCTGGCTAGAATGAGAAAATCATGACAGGAAGGAATTTGGACAAAGGGAAAGCATAGAGCTGCTTATTTAACCAGAGCAGGACAACAAAAGCTGCACTTCAGAAGAGTCTCATTCAGAGCAGCATGGAAGCAGGAAGGGAGAAGGCCAGCTAGAGGACCTAGAGTACACACACACACACACACACACACACACACACACACACACACATCCTCACATGGACCCTCCAGCCTTCTTGCATAGCATCTCCACCATTAGCTTGTGGGCTCAGCCTGCCCCATCCCACCTCTGGGCTATGTTCACAAGGACCTTAGACTTGAGTTGGTCGCTTCCCCCTGCTCCATAGAGCCACTCACCAGCTCCAACTCTGTTTGTGGGGCACAGTGTACTTCTCCATGAAGGCGGTGAGTCGCAACAGTGAACCCTTGTGCAGAAGGTTGATCTGGCCTGCAAACTGCCGATTGATCTCCAGAGACTCTGAGTTGAGGCTAGGCCGGTGGGAGTTCTGGAAGCTATGCCAACGGAGCTTCCTTGTTGGGAAGGCAAGAGATACAGGTTTGGCTCAGCCATGGAAAAAGGTTATGTCTTTCTGGTCTCTTTTATCTTCCCAAAAGAAAGAAAATATTCGCCAGTGGCTCATGCCTATAATCCTAGCTACTCAGGAGGCTGAGATCTGAGGATTGAGGTTCAGAGCCAGCCTGGTCAAGAAAGTCAGTAAGACTCTAATTTGTAGCACTTTTCTAAAAGTAGAGGTGTAGCTTAAGTGGTAGAGCCTCAGCCTTGAGTAAAAAAGCTAAGGGAGAGCTCTCAAAGCTCCGAGTTTGAACCCCAGTACCAACATCAAAAAAAAAAAAAAAAGAAAGAAAAGAAAAGAAAAAGCTAGGCACTGGTGGCTCATACATGTAATGGTAGCTACCCAAGAGACTGAGATCTGAGGATCCTTGTTTGAACCCAGCCAGGGCAGGAAATTTCATGAGACTCTTATGTCCAATTAACCACCAAAAAGCCAGAAGTGGAGCTATGGCTCAATTAGTAGAGTGCTATCCTTGAGATGAAATGCTCAGGGACAGTGCCTGGGCCCTGAGTTCAAGCCCCAGGACAGGAATTTAAAAAAGAAAAAGAAAATAAAATAGGAGGTAGCAACATTGCTGTAGGGATCCAAGAATCAAAATGCTTAGTCTCAGCGCCCAGGGACCAAGAAGTCCTCAGGGAGGGTAGTGTTGAACTCCGGCCCATTTAGTACCAAAAGGCAATGCCAGTCATCTACCCATTCTAAGATTAATGCAAAAGAGCAAAGCTGAAGAGCAGAGACCCTTTCTAACCCCCTCAATGCAAGCAAAAGGAAAGTGAGGTCTAAAGAGAAGCCACTAGTTTCTCAAGGCCACACTAAGCACTCTCAGTGCTACTAGACCTAGCAATTTGTGCCTGTACAGGACTTGAATTCAGGTCCTAGGCACTGTCCCTTAGTGCTTTTGTTTAAGGCTGGTGCTCTATCGCTTGAGCCACAGTTCTATTTCCAGCTTTTTGTTGGTTAATTGGAAATAGAGTCTCACAGACTTTACTGCCTGGACTGGCTTCAAACTGTGATCCTCAGATCTCAGCCTCCTGAGTCTTTACAATTATAGCCAGGAGCCACTGGCACCCAACCTAGCAATCGTAAGACCTAAGTCTTGAACTCTTTACTTCTCTCCTGTGATTGGCTGGCTGAAGTAAGCACCCAGTCCCCCAAAACCTGCCTCTTGGCCTGGTAAAGAAGAAACAGGAGTGGGGGAGAGAGAGAAAATGAGCAGGGACCCTTTCCCCATCCCTTCCCAAACTCCCACCTGCATGGTCTGGTAAGTGAGGCTCCAACGCCTGAATCACGCCGTTCACGAGTCACTGGTGCCTGGAGTCCCGCCAAGGCTCCTGCACCCCCAGCCTCATTCATGGAGTTCCCACTACTGTCTAGTTCACTGGAGGAGGCAACAGTGTCAGAAATGGAGTGTCCTTCTACAGATAGGCTGGAGGCAGACGTGGGTTCCCCAGCTGAGTTGGTGTCTTGCTTGTTGTCCTGGTCCTGGACTGGGATCTCAGCTTGTGCCTGTGCTAATGGTTCAACTTCACCTGGGGCCTGAACCAGAACTACTGACTGGACTTCAGCCTGGACCTGGGTGGGAGATTCTGCTTGGGGCATAGCCTCAGTTTGGCCTTCCATCTCAGCTGTTGCTATTTCCACTGAGGAAGTGACTTCCTCTTCCTCGTCCTCTTCCTCTTCCTTATCTCCATGTTCCAGGTCTGGATATATGGCCTGAGACCACAGCTCTACCCGTTGCTGCAGTCCCCACACATGCTGGAGGATGTCATCTAGGTGAGCATAGCTCTCCCCATCCTCATCTTCTTCTTCAGCTTCAGCCCCAGCCAGCATAGGCTCAGCTGGATACAGCTCTGGCAAGTTGTCATAAGTGCTTGCATGGCTGCCTGTGGAGCCACAGGAGCCCCGCCGCCCTTCATAGCCCCAGCGCCTACCTGGCTGCCAATCTGCCAGGCAATGTCCCTCCTGTGGACACAGGCTCTCAATGGACAGAGAACGAGGGAATGTGCCTGGTTTATGGTCCCCAGGCACATGCACCAAGTAGTTACCCCGATGTCCCTGCTGAGGATGCTGGAACATTGCCATAGGCCAAGCCTCCCAGCCCCTATGAGTCTCAATATCTCTACCCCTCGCTGGGGTGGCTGCCCAGGTCTTGGCCCTATAAAATCCAGCTGAGAGGAAACCACGGCAGTTGCGGAAAGATGAGCCTTTGGTAGTCTTCTCTGGGGTGGCTGGTCTGGGCTCAGGCTCTGTTTGCTGACTGTCACCCTTTTCCTTCCGCCTCAGAGACTCAAGGTGCTTGAGGAAGCTACGAGAACGGTGCTTCTTGGCCTTTTCCTGGGGACCTTCCTGGCCCTGAATGGGGCTGAGGAGGGTCTGGTCACTCGGGCTAGGGACATGGCCTAACAAAGGCAAGTCTGCTGACTCAGGGGAAAGGCTCACGGTGATGGCTGGCATGGAGGTGGCACTAAGCTCAGTGAGGACACTCTCACAGCTTGAGGTCCCCAACAGGCTGGGGCTTGGTGGAGCCAGCAGGGCACAGGAACCCATGGGAGATTGGTGCTGGCTTTCCCGCTGGAAGGCCCAGTGGCTGCTGATGTTACAGTTTTCTTCATCTTCAGAGTCTTCATTCTGGAAAGGTACCACAGGGTTGGGTCAGAGAAGCCCTACCAGCACTCCTGGCTAGCTAGTGCCCCATTCTGACATCAAAATGAAGGGCCTTGGGCTGGGATGTAGCTCAGTGGCAAAGCGCTTGCCTAGCAAGTGCAACGTCCTGGGTTCGATCCCCAGTACCAAAAAAGAAAAGACAAAAAAAAAAAAAGTTAAAAAAAAAAGAAAATGAAGGGCCTTGCTTTTTGGCTTAGGAGTGACAGTTATCTTTGGGAGGGCTGGAGGAGAAGCCAAGAGTCTCAGATTGAAGCTCAGAGGTATTTATGGTAACAGTTATCTAATTAATCTTCTCACTTATTCTCCAGATAAGAAAAGGGATACTTACAAATGAGAAGCGACTTGCCCAATATCCAATGACTTGCAATTGGTGACAGCATTTAGGCTAGTCTTAGATTAGAATTACTGGGCAGAAGAACTAGAGAGAAATCTATATTTAAATTTTTTTCCACCTACTTGGCAAGGTAAGGAAACTGAGGCCCAGATAAGAGAAGAGCCTTGCCAGGAGTCACTCAGCCACCAGTGACAGAGTTGGAACAATCCTGGGTCTCCTGATTGACAGGCCAGTACTCTGGCAACACAGCTGCCCCACCTGACTGCAAGCCTCTCCAGGGGAAAGCCCCTAGAGAAAAGCAATATAACTTGTCCCCAGGAAACAATGGGGTCATGAGGCCTGCTTTCAAGGCTATGTACAAATCAAGAGTCCTCATAGCTTCCCCCAAGAATGGCAGTCTTGGAAAGGCCTATAGAAACTACTAATCCAGCTCCCAATTCATTGTGGAATGGGAAAAATGAGGCCTTGTGTAAGTAGAGGTAAAGTGGAGGTAAGGGGAGTAGGAGAAGGCAAGCCTATCCAGGGTGAGGCTATTTGTTTGGATCCTTTCTGAGGCCTTAAAGACTACAATCTTCTTACCATGGTATTCTGTCTCTGCCCCATATTCAAGGAATTTAAGCCACCTCTTAACTAAATAGTAGCCTTGAGGAAGGCTATCACTAGGTCAAATTATTGGTAAACTTAGAAGAAGGGAGAGGTGAGCTGAGTAGACGTAGTGAAAGACAGGGGCCAGGCTATGTGCTCTCATTCTCTCTTATGTCAGTGAGGCTCACCAACCTCCCAGAAGCCTCACAAAGTCTGCTATATAAGGGTCTTCTACATCTCTACCTCTAGGCTGGGTTGAGGAACTACTCTTGACACTGAAGACTCCAAGAACACTGGAGCTTGTTCCCATGTGCTTTGGGCATTTGCTAGGCCACATTCCTAGTCCCATGTGCACTAAGACCTCACACCCCACCCTTTGCCGGGATTCACCTGCTTGCATTGAAAATGAACCTCCAGCTTCATCGAGGCACAATTATTCAAGGTCATCAGCCTCCTGCAACAAAGAAGCGATCATTTACCCAAGCATCCCAGCCCCTAAAATCCTAGCATAGACTACCCAGACATTCTTCAAGATGCCATCCACCACCTTACATGGCCAAGCCATTGAAACTTCTCCCAAGCCTCACTGTCTGTGAAGGCTGAAGCACTGGGCCTATACCAGGAAGAGTATGTCTTCTGCCTTCCATGACGTTATAGACATGGAAGTAACCAAGACAGAAATGGGATAGGTTCAAAGCAGGCAGGTAGAAGCATAGCAGACCCGTGGAGAGTGGGATAAGTGGAACTTCCATGAAGAGATGGGCCACTATCTGCAAGGGCTTCCTGGAGGACAGAAAGAAGATTTAGAGGGTGACAGAAACTGAGACTCCTATCCCAGCATCTACAGAAATCTGTGATAAGATAAAGGATAGAGAAGACAAGGTCAGGAAATAAACTAGTACAAGAGAATAGGATCAAGGACAGATGACAAAGGGCCTTGAGTGTCATGATAAAATAACATTGTACTTTTGCAGGTAGGCTGTGATTAATTTAAACAGAGTATTCAACTAGGGCTTGAAGAAGGTGACTCTGGTTGCTGTAGATAACATGGATGAGATGTGGAAAACAGATGTGGAAAACAGATACAGAAGCCAGTTAGGAGGTTGTGTGCGTGCGTGTGTGTGTGTGTGTGTGTGTGTGTGTGTGTGTGTGTGTGTGTGTGTTGGTACTATAGTTTGAACTCAAGTCTTGCACACTGTCCCTTAGCTTTTTCAAAAGCTAAGCTGGCACTCTACCACTTGACCTACAACTCCACTTCCACTTTTTTTTGTTGTTGGTTAATGAGTCTTATAGATTTTTCCTGCCTGAGCTGGCTTTGAACCAGGATCCTCAGATCTCAGCCTCCTGGATAGCTAGGATTACAGATATGAGACACTGATGCCCTGCTAAGAGGTTACTTTAGATCCATGGACAATGCATGATTTGGCCTCAAAGAAGAGCAGAACTAGTATAAGCAAAGGGAAACTGAATCCAAGTCAAATTTGGAGCTGTTCTTTTCATATCAAAACTGGACGTGGGCTTTCTATTCTAGCTACAGTGCTGGGGTAAATGAGGGTATCACAGACACTACAAACAGACCATGGGCAAGGTGACTGAAGAAGATGAGCTTTATTAATAATGTTCCTCTCCTCTGACAGTGGGTAAGAGGGGTTGTTTGGTTATACAAGAAAGTCCTAAACTGGACTTTTGGCTATCCCCCTAGCCCTCAACCCTTACCTGCACAGGGCTTCCAGAGAGTTCTCCTCCAGAAAACCGTGGTCCTTCTTTACAGAACTGATATCCAAAGGAAATGCACCTTCTGTGTGGCAAAGAAATGTAAAAGTGAATTTTCTGGCAGGAAATAAAAAACAGCCTCCAACTGGGCACCAATGGCTTATTCCTGCAATCTTAACAACCAAGGAGGCTGAGATCTGAGGAACATGATTTGAAGCCAGCCCAGGCAGGAAAGAATGTGAGACTTTTATCTCCAATTAACTTGTAAAAAGCTGGAAATGACATTGATGAAAGTGATCTATACAACTCGGTGGGGACTGGAGAGAGGGACTAGGAGAGAGTGAGAGAAGGGAAGATGCTGTACGAAAGAAATGTACTCATTACCTTACTCTGTACATCACCTTTATAATAACAATAAAGTGAATAGTAATTTTTAAGGCTAGATATGAGACATAGTTCATGTGGGAGAGCACCAGCCTTAAGCAAAAAGGCTAAGGGACAGTGCTGAAGCCACGAGTTCAAGTCCCAGTACTGGTACAAAAAACTTACAATTCTGTCCCAAACTGGGCATTGGTATTTCACACCCTTTATCCTAACTACTTAGAAGGCTGAAACCTGAAGAATGGCATTTGGAAGCCAGCCTGGGCAGAAAAGTTTGTGATATTCCATCTCCAATTAACCAACAAAAAGCGTGTCTCAAGTGGTAGGACACCAGCTGTGAGTAAGCAAGCTGAGCAAGTGCAAGGTTCGGAGTTCAAACATGGGTACTGGCAACAGAAAGACTAAGGAAGAAGGGAAGTGGGTAGGTGTGAGACATACTAGAAGGAAAAAAACCAGAAGTAAAAAAGGAATGTTAGAGTTTGGACTTCAGTGACTCCTTTGTAGGTTTGGCTCATAGCTGATGGTACTGTTAGGAGGTGGGCCCAGTGAAAGAAAGTTGGACTACTGGATGCATGCCCTTGTAGAAACCATGAGGTAGACAACTTCCCTCTGCTCTGCACTTCTGCCATGAGACTCTGCCTCAGCACAGGCCCAAAGCTGACTTGTTGATCTCAGGTATTTTGTCTCAATGGTGGAAAGCTGTTAAATACAAGGGGGATTCAGGGAGCTACTCTCTGGGAATTGGGAGGGGGGAAGCAGAGAGAAGCTAAGAGGGTTGAGCTGGATCAAAAACATCAGTCAGTGAAGGCAGGTCCATCAGAGACAGCAGGCCTGAGACCCTGGCTGCCTGTTAACTTGGGTGTTTTTCTGTCATTTGAATCCTCGATGCTTAGAAAGGAAGCCCCCACCCTGGTGCAAGGTGGCCTGGGAAGTAGAGAGGGAGCAAGGGTTGAAAAGATAGCATGTAACCAAACAATAGTTCCCTTTCCCCTGTTGTCCAGAGCAGTAAGGCCTTCTCCCTGGGACTTAGGGCAGAGAGCAAAGAAAGAGTAGGAAGAAAGGAAGTGAGAACCTGACAAGTCCCATAACTCTTTGTCTTACTGGTAAAACAAGCTCATGGACTCATTCAACTAATAGTGATATATTTCCTGCCAGACAGACAGTAGTGAACAAAAATGGTCCTTAACTTCAAGTTTATGCTCTCATAGGAAACAGATAGTAAACCATGCAGGAAACCATAAAAAAAAAACATGAGCCAGGGTAACAGGATAAAGAGAACCTAAGGCTGGCAATGGGGCTTAGTGGTAGAGTGCTTGCCTAGTATGCATGAGGCTCTGGGTTTGATTCCTTCTGAGGAATCAGAAGTGGTGCTGTGGTTCAAGGGGTAGAGTGCTAGCCTTGAGCAAAAAGAAGCTCAGAGACAGTGCCCAGGCCCTGAGTTCAAGCCCCAGGTCTGGTAAAAAGAGATGCCCTCTGAGACATCAAAGAAACAACACTCATTTGGGGAAGGGAAGTAGGAGAAAAATGAGGGAAAAGGTAACAAGTTTGATAAGAAGTATACTCATTACCTACCTTACTTATGTAACTGTAACCCCTCTATATATCACCTTGACAATAAAAATTTTAAATTAATTTTTAATTTTAATTAATACAAATTTAATTTAAAAATTAAATTAAAAAAAAATAAAACCTGGTGGGCTGCTTGGAGAAAGGTGGTCAACATAGGCCTTTCTGAAGAAATAATTAATGGGTCATGAACTTAACTCTGAGATGCTGGTCATGCAGAGGAGAGAGAGAGAGAGAGAGAGGGAGAGAGAGAGAGAGAGAGAGAGAGAATGAGAGAACGAAGAGGAGCAGGAGGAGCAGAAGCAAGAGCTAGAGGAGAAGGAGCAAGAGGAGGCAGAGGAAAAGGGGGAAGAGGACAGAATTTGCAGCAGAAGTAACCACTAGTATCAAGGATCCAAGGAAGAGAGGACTGGAGGAGAGCAAGGAGAAAGAAGCATGCAGCACAGTGAGCAAAGGTAAGCAGACATAACTGGCAAGGCAGATGGATCTGCAGTCTCATCAAGCATGATTCAGGATGTGTGCTTGTTTCACTCAGATGAGCAGAGGGCTCGAACCCTTCTTGCTGTGGTGGACAGATGAAAGTGCGCAAGTACAAAAAGTCCAGGTGTCAGGGAGGAGGCTTGTGCACTAGTTCTAGTGAGTGGTCATGTTGAGAGCTTGTTTGGAGGTTCTAGCAGGGGAGCGCAGCTACTCGTATACCCTTGACCGAAGACCGGTCCTCCTCTATCGGGGATGGTCGTCCTCTTCGAGCGAGCGCGCAGCTTCGGGAGGGACGCACATGGAGTGGTGAGGGAGGAAGGGGACACCCGCCTAGCCAGCCAGATCAGCCGAATCAACCCTGGCGATCAATGGGGTGACAGATGTCGCAGCCAGATCGCCCTCACATCCTGAGTGGTCATGTTGAATGATAGCAGATGTGGCAACGGAAGTGATAAAGTCTTGGAGCCAGCCAGGCACTGGTTGTTCACTTGTAATCCTAGCCACGCAGGAGGCTGAGATCTGAAGACCAAGGTTCAATGTCTGCCAGGGTAGGAACATCTATGAGACTATTATCTCCAATTAAGCACAAAAAAGCCAGAAATGAAGCTATGACTCAAGGGGCAGAGCACCAGCCCTGAGCAAAAAAGCAAGGACAGCACCCAGACCAACTTCAAGCCCCAGGACTGGCATCCCTCCTCCTCCAAAAAAAAAAAAAAGAATTGGATTCATTCAACAATGAAGCTTGTTGAGATTGGTTTGGGAAGAGGTAGAGGGGTGATAAGGAAGAGTGATGGGGGGGAGGAGGTAAGTCTGATCAAAGTACATTGTACATATGGATGTGTCAAAATGAAACCCCCATGTATAGCTATTTGATGATAATAAAAATATGTAAAAAACAGAGAATCAAATCCATTCAAGACATATTATCTGGGCTTGCAGGCATGGCTTAAATAGTAGACTACATGCCTAGCAACTGCAAGGTCTTGAGTTCAATCTGCAGTCCTGCCCCGCCATCCCCCAAAAAGGTATTGTTGAGGAAGAAACAAAGACAAGACTGATGGAGGGTTAGGTATGGGAGCCAAAGAGAGAAAGATATTAAGGGCAACTTCTGAATATAGATCTTGAACAATTGGGTGGATGGTAATGTCCTGAAAATAATTGGGGGTGCCAATGGATCTGTTTTAGACTTGTTAAATCTCACCTACATCTGCCACATATCTGAGCAGATATTGAATTGAATAGATGCCAGAGACCTTGGGAGTTACATCTGGACTGTCACATTTGAGAGTCATCGGTGTACAAATGAAGTTGGGTAAGAATCTCATGGGAAAGAAATGTTGAGAGAGTAGAAGGCCTACAGAAGAAGGTGAGTCAGCTAAGGAGACAGAGCAGCAGCCAGAGAGGCAGCCTGCAGGGGGAGGGTTGCACAAGCCCAAGGAAGAAGGGGGGCTTGCACTGAACACAACTGTCAAGTAAAATAAGAGGATAACAGGAAACCAGACACAAACAGTGGCTCACACCTGTAATGCTAGCTACTCAGGAGGCTGAGATCTGAGAATCACAGTTCGAAACCAGTCTGAGCAGGAAAGTCCATGAAACTCTCATCTCCAAGTAACCACCAAAAAGTCAGAAGTGGAGCTGTGGTTCAAGTTGTAGAGCACCAGCCTAGAGTGAAAAGGCTAGGGAACAGTGACTAGGCTCAGAGTTCAAGCCCCAATACTGGACACAAGTACATACGTATACACACACACACACACACACACACACACACACACACACACACACACACACACACACACACACACACACACACACGTACATTCACACAGGACTGAGATGACTACTGAATTGACTCCATGGAAGTCACTAAAGAGCTTGATCAGGTGAGGGAGATGTGATGTCCCGGGTACAAAGGGCTGTGTGAAGAAGAGAGGAATAGGAAATAGCAAATGCAAAGAAGTTTAACAAGAACAGACGAACAAAGATACAAAAGACATGAAGGAAAAGAAAAATGAGGCCATCACTATGCACAAAGAGAGGTGCCCTATCCCAGGGGTATCATTTCACATTATAGCTCAGAAGTGGCACAGAGCAATGTCCCAGGCAAGATAAGGTCTTTTCTTCCTTCCTTCCTTCCTTCCTTCCTTCATACCTTCCTTCCTTCCTGTCTGTCTTTCTTTCTTTCTGTCTTTCTTTCTTTCTGTCTTTCTGTCCTTCTGTCTTTCTGTCTTTCTTTCTTGCCAGAGACCAGGACTTGAACTGGGTACCTGATGTGTTCCCTCATTGGCTAGCACTCTATCAACTGAGCCATGCCTCCAACCCCTAGACAAGGTTCTTTAAAGCATGGCCATCATCAGAGATTATGGAAGCTGATGAAAGCAATCTAGCAGTGATGACAATGTAGGAGAGAGGAATTTTAAGTTCAGAGGTAAAGGCCCTGAGTAAATTTGAACAGAAGCAGGAGACATAGAAGCTTCTCCCGTGGCTGGAGAGGGGATGTGATTTGTCCATTTTACAGACAAAAATCTGCAAGATAAAGATGTTTTGGAATAAGAGAATGTATTCAACAGAGTTCGTACCTTCAAAAAGCTGAGCATATTGAGGAAATCCTGTTGCTCGGAGCCAGTCACATGCTTTCTTGGCCTCAGTTTCTAAAACAGAATGAGGGGAAAAACACAGAAAAATAGGGTTAATAGGGTACTGGGTGGATACTTCCTCACCTCCAGAAGGCAGGTGTGCCTAGTTCCAGTGATGCAGAGATGGCAAGAGCGGGTCTGACACATTTAGGCCAGCTAGGACCCTTCTACTCCCTGAACCCTACTCTTTGTCCTGACCACAGCTTTTTCTTGAGTCTCATTCTCTGACTTTCCCAAACCCCTCCTCCTGCCCCTTTCGCCAGAAGAGAACCCAACACCAGTTACAACTCCCAGAATCATCTGGGATCAAGGGGAATTACTGCAATAAGAAGACACCGCTGTGCCCTCCAGCCATACCCTTACCCTTTCCATGGATCTGAGCAGAACATCCTAGACCAGCTAGGAGACATGAAATATTTAGCAGTATCTATTATTCCTTTTCTCATTATCATACTGAACACCCTCCAGACTGCTGCAATCACCTACAAAGAATTCTCTCTCTATTATAATAGCTATACAAGCAGGCTCAGAAAGAGACTCAAGCCAGGTGTGGTGGTACACACCTGTAATAGCAGCACTCAGGGGACTGAAGTAGGCTTAGGAATTCAAGGCTAGCCTGGGTTATACAGTGAGACCCTATTAAAAGAGAAAGAAAGGAAACAGAAGAGGTAAAGGTCTCCCTGTTCATCTGACAGCAGTTTCCCAAGTTCTCTTCTCCTCAACCACTCAAATTTCAGTCCTCCTTCCACAGGGGTTTCCCTCGACAACCCCAGCTTTCTTCAGTAGCTCAGCTTATTTGTGGTACAATCCAATGCTGAACATTATGCTGACACAGCCACTGGCCTGTGGGAGTCTTGGAGGATAAGAGCTAGGTCAGCCTCCCTACTCTCCTCTGAGAGTGCCTGGAACAGAACTAGAGGCCACCAACAACCTCAGCCAGAGGTTAGAGAGGCGCTCCTGACCACCATACTGGGCTGAATCCCAGCAGTGAATCTGCTCCCACAGACCCCTGGCATTGCCAGGCTGGCAGGGGAAGGCTGCTGACTTCAACAAAGCTGCATGGAGTCCTGCTTTCAACACTTCCTCCATTTCCTTAGTGAGGTGGCAGCCCTACTAACCAGAACTCCAAGGAGAATGGTGTATGGGCACAAGATGACAATAGATCTCTCCTCTCAGTGCTTGTGTACAAGGAAATCTAGGAGATCCTGGTAGCCAGGACCAGAAGACAAAAGACTCTTAAAACAGTATCCTAGAGGGGTACTTGTGCTCATGCCTATAATCTTAGTTACTCAGAAGGCTGAGATATGAGGATCAAGACTTAAAGCCAGCTCGGACAAACAAATCCATGAGACTTATCTCCAACTAACCAGCAAAAATTGTGAAGTGGAGCTGTGCCTCAAATGGCAGAGTGTCTTTGTTGAGCAAAAAACCTTACTGAGAGCATGAGGCCATGAACTCAAGTCTAGGTACAGGCACACAGACACACAGACAAACAGGCACACAGACACAGACACACAGACACAGACACAGACACACACACAGACACACACACACACACACACACACACAGGATCTCAAAGAGGCTTAGCAAGTAGACAACATACAAAAGAGGCAGTTAAAAGAGTAGCCAACTCCTCTAGAGTCACACATGGATGAAGATTGGAGGGAAGAAAAGAGAAGGTTTTGGCAATGTCTGGACCCTGACAGGCTCTAGAGACAAACATGGGTAGTGCAGGGAGGAACATCAGTGCATTTCCATGAGTGTAAGCATCAAGACAAGGTTGATCATGACCATGACCTATGGGGGTTGGTGTGGGATCATGCACACATATATACTTGTAGGTGCCTCTATTTGTATGTCTCTCTCCCTCCCTGCCCCCTTTCTCTGTGGGCCTATGCAAGCAAGTGCATATGCATGGTTCTCCTCACAGCAGGACCTCTGGCAGAGCCGTATTAGCAGTACCTTGGCTTGTCTGGCAGGGGGCGATGCAGGCCTGGGAAAGGATCCACTTGTCCAGGCCATTTGGGAGACTAGAGACCAATAGGAAAGGGAAGGGACTATAGGGCACGCCAACAAAGGGAGGATTTGAAGCATGTGGTTTTGCTGCTAGGACAGCTGAGTTGGCTGCCACACCACTTCCCTGGGCTCTGTCCCTGCCACAGCCCCAGAAGACACTTCCCGGATCTCAGTGCTCCTCCTTGCTGGCTCTGCTTTCTTGTCATTCAGATAAAAGGAAGCTTGCTGAATGATGAACCAGATCAGAATTTCCAGAGGTTAGTACAAAAGCAAATAGAGACTCCTAAAGGGTCACAAGTTTTAGTATGCCAGGAACACACCATGGAAATCTCACTGCAGTCTTAAGTCCCTTGAGTCCAAATCGAGGCAGGGAAGCATGCCCAGCCTTCCTCCCTCAGCCTGACAAAGGAGGAGATTCCAATTATTAAATCTTAAAGCTCAACATCTGTACTATCTCCCCAAGCCACAGAACCAAAGGAGAGTGACAGACTGCCTGCATACTCCACTACTGACAGGCAGTAGCCCTAGTTGCTGTTGGCTAGAAGGGGAACAGCTCCCTTAGAAGGGTGCTGAGTGTGTTCATTCCTGCTTAGAGCCCTCCAGCACCTTGTTACTCAAAGTATGCTCTCAGACTAGCAGTGTCAATATCACCTGGGCACTTGTTAGAAATGTAGAATCTAGCCAGGTAACAGTGGCTCATGACTGTAATTCTAGCTCTTCAGAGGCTGAGATTGGAGGATCACAGTTCAAAGAGAGCCGAGAGAGGAAAGTCCATGAGATTCTTGCCTCCAATTAACCAGCAAAAACAGCCAGAAGTGGAGCTGTGGCTCAAGTGGTAAAGCTAGCTTTAAGTACAAAAGCTCAGGGACAGCATCCAGGCCTTGAGTTCAAGCCCCAGGACACACACACACACACACACACACACACACACACTGAAGAATCCCAGACCTTCCATACCCTATACCTGCAGATTCATAATGCCCACTTAGCCAGATCCTCTGGCACTTTGCACACACACACACACACACACACACACACACACACACACACACACACACACACACTGAAGAATACCAGACCTTCCATACCTTATACCTACAGATTCACAATGCCCACTTAGCCAGATCCTCTGGCACTTTGCACACCCATTAAAGTTTGAGACATGCATCTGGTCATACAAAACAATATTTATCAAAATGAACTCTAGAAAATGAAAAGAAGACACTTTTGTTCTTTTTTGCTGTTTTTGTTTTCTTTCCTTTTTGTTCTGTTTGTTTATGTCTTTGGGAGTATAAGGGGGGGCACAGAAATGGAGAGACAAATGGTGAACAAATGGAGCAATGGTACTCACTGGATTCTATGTTGAAAACGAAGTATATAACTTGTGGGTGAAAATGGGAGGGAAAAACTGAGAAAGAACAAGGCAAGGGGTGACATTATCCAAAAACAAACACACTGTTTACCTGACTCATGTAACTGTAACCCTTCTGTATATCACCTTTATAGTAACATTTTTTTTTTAATTTTAAACAGGGGCTGGGAAGGTGGCTCAATGGTAGAGTTCTTGCATTGCATGCATGAGGCCCTGGGTTCAATTCCTCAGCACCACATAAGCAGAAAAAGCCAGAAGCAGTGCTGTGGCTCAAGTGGTAAAGCGCTAGCCTTGAGCTGAAGAGCTGAGGGACAGCGCCCAGGCCCAGAGTTCAGGCCCCACAACTGACCAAAAAAAAATTGAGACGTGCTCATCTAAATCACATAGATCAGGGATTCTCAGTCCTAGAGGCACATTAGAATCAGCTAGATGTATTTTTTAAAATACCAATGCCCAGCGTCCCTTTCCTAGATGGTATGTGGCAGGGCTCCCCAATCTATTTTCTAAAGCTGTAGTATGAGGCATACTGAGATCCAAGGGACTTTCCCAAGGTCACTCATAGTTAAGTGTCATGAGGGAGACTACAACCCTGACCTTTTAATTCCATGTTCAGTGTTCCTTTCTACCACATTATGCTACTTGCTACTTGCTTTCTAGTCAAGCAGGGGCTCAGACTCAAAGGAATCAACACTAAATTGGTTTTCTGCTCCTTCTGGTCAGTGGAGGCACAAGTCTGAGTTCAAATCCTGATGCTGTCAGTCACTAGTTCCTTGACTATGTGCCAGTTGAACTCTATGCCTCCATTTCTTCTATAAAATGGGGGTTATGGCATCCAATTCTTGCAGCTGTGGAGAACACTAAATGAACAATTGGCAAAAGGAAGTCTTTGGTACACAGTACCAAGCACTCATTTACAGTGTTCTTATTGGGATCAGAGGTAGATTCTCATCCAAAAGAAAAAAAAAAAGTAGCCAGGCACAGGTGGCTTACGCCTATAATCCTAGTTACTCAGGAGGCTGAGATCTGAGGATCGTGGTTCAAAGCCAGCCCAGGCAGGAAAGTCCATGAGACTAATCTCCAATAAACCACTAGAAAACCAGAAGTGGCATTGTGGCTCACGCGGTAGAGCGCTAGCCTTAAGCTGAAGAATGCAGGGACAGCGCCCAGGCCCAGAGTTCAATCCCCGACTGACAAAAAAAAAAAAGTCTAAGCCACTAGTGACTCCTGCTTGTAATTTCAGCTATTCAGGAAGCTGAAACCTGAGGATCAATGTTTGAGGATAGTCTGGGCAAAAATGTCTGTGAAAGTTTTATTTCCAATTATCCATCAAAAACCTGGAAGTAGAGCTGTGGCTTAATTGGTAGAGCACCAGCCTTGAGAGAAAAAGCTAAAGGACAATACTCAGCTTGAGAAGCCCTAATACTTATACATACAAGAAAGAAAGAGAGAGAAGTGAAGAGAAGAGAAGGAAGGAAGGAAAAGAGAGGAAGGAAGAAAGGAAAAGAGAGGAAAGAAGGGAGGAAGGAAGGGAGGGAGGGAGGGAGGGAGGGAGGGAGGGAAAGAAGAAGGGAAAGAGGGAGGGAGGAAGGGAAATAGAAGGTAAACCAGAGAAAGTGGCCAAGCTAG